TTTTTTTTTTTTTTTTTTTTTTTTTTGGTCTCCACTGGTGCCTCTCCTTGTGTCAATGCAGTTGAGAGTCTGGTGTGCCATCCGCACGGTGGCTGTGACTGCTGCTATAGAGACTAGCCACTTTTACAGCAGCCATTGCAATTGCAGTGGCTCTGGTGGGCTACCCCTGTGAAAATGGTGTTTTTGGTGTGCTCTTTACCTGGTTGCGGCTGGGTTCAGCTTCCTCTGGCCTCATGCCTCGGGGCCTCTGGGGTGGTGGTGGCAGCTTGCCTAGTTGCAGCTGGGTTTGCCTTCTCCCAGCTCCATACCTCATTCTAATATGTTGTTGTGGAGCAGTTAAGGGTGGGAGGGGGAGTGGGGGGGAAGGGAGAAGGAGGGGGAGCGTGATTGAGGTCCATGGCCACTCCCCATTCTGCCAGGGGAGACAAGGGGGCTTCCAGCAGTAGCTGGGTCATCACTGGGCTGGATGCAGATGTCAGGGTGGTGTGGCTGATGCCCTCACCCCCAACTGCCCTAGCTCAGGTCTGGGATGCTTCCTGTGGTGGCTCTGTGGTCGTTGCTGGGCTGGTTGCAGAAGTCAGGGGGTGTGACTGAGACCCTCAGCCCCCCACTGCCCTGGCTCAGGAGCGCAGGGTGCTACCAGCTGTGGTACATTCTCTACCAGCATCCTCTAATTTGGTTCTGGTATCTTAGGTTGGTTCTGCATAGGTTGACTAGGAAACACTGTTAAATTCACTTTTCCCTCCCCAAATCAGGATCACACCCACGCCTCTTGGAGAAGGGAAGAGTACGGTCACAATTGGGCTCGTGCAGGCACTGACCGCGCACCTGAACGTCAATTCTTTTGCCTGTCTGAGGCAGCCTTCCCAGGGACCGACTTTTGGAGTGAAAGGTACTTGAACAACTAGTGTATTTTCCAGAGCAAAATCTTGGGGAGAAAAGCTTTAAAAGCACATCAACAGATATGGAGTTACTTTTTCAGAGGAACTGGTACATTTCATCGCACACCCCGTACCCCCACCTCCTGAACACTCAATACATAGCAGTCATCCCAAATCAGTCCTCCTGTTCACAAAGATAACAGAGGAAGCTGGGGGGTGGGAGCTTTAGTGGAGCCCCCCAAGAAGCCTCTTCCTTGGCTCTGTTGCTCAGGACTCCCACCCCGAATGGAGTCTTGTTTCATCAGTACCTTCTTTGCCAAGTGGTCTTGAAACTCTGCCATTCCTATTGGTGTTTTATCATCCCATCCATGGTGAAAGGTCTTTCTGCTAAACAGAGACCCCATAGGTTGGCCCCTAAGTCTCAGCTCGTTAGAGCGGCTGTGTGGGGCCTGAGGAGCTCTCTGGAGATGGACTGGCTGTGGATGGAGAGCTGTGATGAAATTCCTCTTTGGCTGAGGTTGGGCTGGAATCTGGCACCTTCACGTTCATTAGTCTTTCTTCATTGATTTATTGTGAAATCATTCCTTAGCTTACTTTACAATAGCGTTTATTGCTGCAATTACGGTTTGTTCTTGGCACTTTGTGCTTCTTAACAGTATTATGTTTATGTTACTGTTACGAATATTAATAACTCCTAACTCATTAAATACTGATAACTCATAGAGCGTCATACATTATGCAGTGGAGTGGACACTAGACTTGGAGAGAGAAGGCCAGGGTTTTATTCATGGCTGAGTCTCTTACTGCTATGTGACCTTTAGTCAGTCATAATATCTCTGAGCTGCATCTGTGAAAGTGTAAAAAGGGTTATACTTCCAGGCTCACCGGGTTGTTATAAGGATCAAATGAAATAGCATATAAAAAACAAGATAAACTGTAAAATGATGTGCATGTGGATGGTATCATTATTGTTTTAGGAAAGACAAGCCTTTTTAATATGATAACTAACATTTTAAGGGATAAGCAGCATGGCAGTTCTTATATACTGTTATCTGAAATAAGTTGACTAAAGTTTATAATTTGTTTATAATTTATATAGGGTGTTTATCAGGTTTTTTTTAACAAAGATTTTGATACTTCGGTGCATGTATGATTTAGATAAAGCGTAGCCACATAGACCTAATAATAAATTCATATAATCTTGTATCCTGATATACGTTTTACAGTAATAACATTTGCTGTATTATTTTTACATTTGTTTTTTAAACAAAGAAATGGAAGTCCTTAAAATGTATATAGTTGGGTATAGTGTGACTTTTTTTTGTTGTTTTCCTCCTCTTCCGCTTGGACAGAACAGTTAGTGTCACTCACTTCCTGTTCTTTCATCTTGGGTATAGATGCTGTTGGGTTTGGGGAGCTCTGTCCCTGGAGCTGTTGGGTTTGGGGAACTGTGTCTCTAGGGCTCTGTGTATCCTATGTAGCTATACTTGGTGACTTCTTTCAAATGTCGCTTGCTCTATTGTTTAGGAGGAGCTGCGGGTGGTGGCTACGCCCAGGTCATTCCCATGGAAGAGGTAAGATCATGAAGAGATGCATGTTGTGTATCACTGTGATTTCCTCCTGACACCTTTGTCTCTGCTCCCAGAAACATAGGCTCACAGTCCTACATCCACAAGCCCAAAGTACTAAAGGCTCTGAACACCAAAAATGTTTGCAGCACTCCTGTGGTGGCAAAACCTGATGTTGACTTTTATGAGCTTCGTATGGATTTTGTTTATGCCATGTGATGTGAATATTCATATATTTTGCTGTAGAAATATTGTTTTGATTAATGGGAACTAACCTAGCCCATGATAGGGGTGTTTTACAAATAAATTATATGTACATCACAGTACCTTTCTAAATTCCCCAAAATTCTGAATCCCAAAACCCATCTGGCCTCAAACATTCTAGAAAAAAAGATGTTGGCTTGTGTGTCCATGGATTATCTGCTGTACTGCCAAAATTTAGGAAGACTGGGCACTTCCTTCTGTCAATTAAGACTCCAAAATAAAATAGTTCCAGAAAAAAATGGGCAAAAAGAGGTGATGTTATCAATTCTCATTTCTCCAAGACCTCCTTCTGCTTCCTGCATATCCTCTTCTTGGCCCCTGTGTCTAGCCAGCGGCAGGTTCTCTTCCATGCTACTCTCTGCAGCAGCCTCCTAGTTCAGGTCCTGAGCAATCTTCCTAAGCCCAGGTCTGCACAAGATGCTTTCCTGTTTCATAATTTCAGTAGTTACCCTTCGCTTTCCAGCACTGCAGGGGAGGTCCTAGCCTGCAGGTTCCCCCTGCATCTCACTTTCCACCATATCAAGCTCCTTGCAGACTCCTGTCCTGTTTTCTCTTGGTTCCAGGACTTTTTGCATGCCTGGAATGTTCTTCCATTCTTTTTCTTCCCTCTCCGCCCAGCTTAGGTGCTGTTCTCAAGGTTCTGTTAACCCCACAAATTCCCCTTATACTCTGTGTTTACGGCCATCTGGTTCAGTCAGCTGTGGAAAGCTGAGGCCTTTCTTGACGTTTCAGGTCCCAGCACTTAGCAGAGTGTCCTGCACATAGTAGGCACTCACTAGGAGTATTTGTTGACTTTGTTGAAGGAATAGAACTGCTTACCCATGGAGGCCTGAGTATCAGGGAAGCTAAAGAGAAAATTCAGATAAACTTTAGGTGTGGGGTTGGGTGAGAAATAGTAGCCTAAGGCCTTGCTGAGGGGCTGCCCCAAGCCTCCTCCTGAGTGGAGACGAGCACCTCACAGCCCAGATGACACAGAGCCAGGAGGCCCGGTGGGGGATGGGGTGCAAGGAACACGCTCAGGGGAGCGCTCGGGATTTGCTCAGCAGATATGGAAAGGACATTGGTGTCCTGCTGCTACAGGGCATCAGCTGCCTGGCTCAGCATTGGGCAACCACCTTGTGATGGTTGAGCAGGCAACTTGTTCCTTGAAGGTGAGTACCTGCGGTATCTTCATCTCTGCATCCCCAGCTCTGAGCACAGTACCTGACACTTAGTGGATGTTTGTTGACTGAGTGCCATGCTCAGACAATGCACACTGAAAGAAACTTAATAAATAATCCTATGGGGAAATGTTAGAATAAACTCCAGATGGACTGAGGAACTGAAAGGGAGAATACTAAGACTTGCAGGGTGAGGAGCCAGCCTTGTAAAGAATGAGGGAAAGGATTCCAGGCGGAGGGGACAGCTCGTCGGAAAGCCCCGAGACACGAAAGGGCTTGGCTGATTCAGGGAACTGGAGGACACCGTCGTGGCCAATGCCCAGCGGGCCAGGGAGAGTGAGGGAGATAAGGCTGAGAAGTGGGCAGCTGCCAGCTCTTCCAGGCTATTGCTTTTCGTTGCTAAGAGGCAGGGTTTTATTTGAAGGTCATGGTCAGCCACTGAAAGGGTATTGACAAGATAATGTGATGCCAGTTGGGTTCACAAATCATTCTGGCTTCTGTGCAAAGGATAGACTGTTGAGGCTAAGAGTGGACACTAGGAGTTCAGTAAGGAGACTGGAAGTAGCCCAGGGGAAAGACGGTGGCTTGGCCCGGGGTGGTGGCAGTAAGGGTGGAAAAAAGATGACAATTTAAGATTTGTTTGGTGATGTTTGCAGGGTTAGATGTGGGGGGTGAGAAGAGGGGAGGATTCAGGGAAGATGATATCCAGGGTACTGGACTGAACAACCCAGTAGATTCCTTGATGGGAATGAGACCTGGGGGAGGGATGGAGCGCGGTCAGCTGGAAAGAAAAATGTGTATTCCAATTGTAAAATAGCCGAAAAGAAATATTAACTAACCAATGGATGTTCATCTTCACTAGTAATCAAATAAATCCACGTTAAGTTATCAGTTACCATTTTACTTGTCAAATTGGTAGAGTTGGATTTTCCAAATGGTATTAATACCAAATTTTGTCAAAGAGGAATAGAAATACACTTTCATAAACCACTGGGAAGTGTATGTCAATAAAACTGTTTTGGATAGTTAGAAATATATATCAAATACCTTTAAAACTTTCATACCTTTTGGCCCAAATAAATTCATTTTTAGTTTATTCTAAGGAGAAACTGGATGTGTATGCAAAGATTTCATTTTAAAACTACATATCTTCACATAGCTTATAGCATTTAAAAAATTGGGGGGAGAAACTTAAATGTCTAATAATAGGATATCAAGTTAATTATATTTTGAAGACTCTTTAATGAAGTGAAAATGCTAGTAATATTAAGTGTAAAAGATAAGGTATAAACTGTTACAGTGTTATCATCACAATATTGAAAATTAGAAATATATGTTACAAAATAAAATTTTAACAAGAAAATATAAATGTTTAACCTTCCAAGAAATTAAAGAAATGCAACTTAAAGCGAAACACCACTTTTTCAACTATTAAAGTATTTTTTTTAGTCTGAAGTAACTGATCCAGTGTTTTGCAAGGTGACAGTTCATCCCTTTCAAAAAGCAATTTGGTGATATTATCAAGGTCTTTTAACCCAATAGCAACACTCCTGGAAATATGTTGCTCATTAGCAATTGATTTTTTAAAAAACAAAGAGCTGTTTGCATGTATTTTTTATAATTGTGGCCTTCTTTGCAAATGCAAAAATATGGAAACGATTTAAATGTCTAGGCTTAAGAGGCTGAAAATTTTTGTCTATCTACCCATTTACATAGCCCCTATATAACTATACATGAAGAAAATTATTATAAAATAATGTTTTTAGAAAAGGTTCCAAATTTGGGCCGACCCGGTGGCGCACTGGATAGTGCGCCGCTTGGGAAGCGCGGCGGCGCTCCCGTCCGAGGGTTCGGATCCCACATACAGACCGGTTCCCGCTCACTGGCTGAGTGAGGCGCGGGAGCAACACCGAGGGTTGCGATCCCGTTGCCGGTCCCCGGTCCGGTACGGGGGCAACACTGAGGGTTGCGATCTGTTGCCGGACACGGAAAAAGACAAAAGACAAAAAAAAAAAAAAGAAAAAGAAAAGGTTCCAAATTATAAGTATTCAGATTCTATAAGTAATAATCATGTGTGCACATGACACTAGAAGGAAAATAGAATTAAGAGTTGTGAGGGTGATATAATTTATTTCTCAAATTTTCTGTAATATATTCTGTTACTGTTTGTTGTTAGTTTATTTTATGCCCTGTCTCATTCCAAAGTATGCTTGACATGATACTGTTTTCTAAATAATAAAACAATGCATAAAAGTAAAGTAAGGGAAAATAAGGAAACCAAAATTTTAAAAAACTGTCATTGAAGAATCTTTCACCCTTAACCAGAGAATGGAAGAATTTGCAATGAGAGAGTCTGCTCAAGAGTTCTTTTTTCTCAAGTGGAAGACCTTGACATTGATGTTCTGATTTAGGCTGTCTTAGCTCATTATATTCAGCTCATTATAAGAATATGTAATTAGCATATTATTTATTCAGACAGTCCTTGAGTACTGCCATGGTTGTTTAAAACAAATAGAAAGGTGTTCCATTTTATTCACAGTTCAACCTTCACTTGACTGGGGACATCCACGCCATTACTGCTGCCAATAACTTGCTGGCTGCTGCTATTGACACAAGGATTTTGCACGAGAACACCCAGACAGACAAGGTGAGAAGGATTTCTTGTTAGCCATTTTGGGCATCTTATCCTAGGATTCCTGATTCTTAAAGAATTCATGGGAAGACTCTTGGATCCTGTAAACTCTCTGAAATTTTACTCAAAATTTTGTGAATTTTATATATATCCTTATCTCCTGAGGATCGGATCTACACTTTGGTCAAATTCTCAAATGGGCTTATGACCACTGCCAAGTTGATAGGAGAGTTGTATTATGTTGTATATTTTAAGCCAAATATTCTTTGAGATGAATCTTTCATTTTAAAGGTAATTGGTAAACCAGTTCTCTTTGTTCTGGCCATAGGTATAATCTATGGTCTATGCTAAGGGGATTGAACAGAAGTCTTTTTAAGATGAATATTGCATGGAGCTATCCTAGATGTGCTGTTAAAGAGGTCAAAGACCCTTGCTGGGCTTCACATGCATGTAGACTAAGAAGAAAATCACACAACGAAGGGGACAGAGTACCTACCAGCTGCTAATTTCTCAGACACAGGACATGGATAAAAGGGGTACTTTCTGGCATGTTTTATAACAAGGGTCCTGACTTTTTCAATTAAAGTAATTCCCTAATGAGTCTTTGTAGCAGAATCCACATGAATATTAATTTGATGGTTGTAAGCTATAGATCAAGAAATGTATTTATGCAAGCTCTTTGTAATGTGTGTTATTTCAGATCTAGTCAGTTTTATTAAAATGATAGAATTTAAGTCAATATTGTTTATATTAGGCCCCAAATTTTAATAGGGTCTGTGAGTGAGCGAGTGTGGGAAAATTGCACACTGTCTTTACTCTCTCAGCAACAGTCATAATCATCACAGAAGACCAACTTCTGTGACCAAATGTGTGGGGACTTCTCCCCGCCAGCAAGTAAGCAAGCAATTCTGCAGCTGGCATCAGCTAGGTGTCCTCCAGTTCAATTCTGACACTATCTACCTGAGTTGTTGTCAGATCTCACAGGTTGAGGGCTTCCCAAGACTGCCCCCACTTCAGATGCCAGTTGCAAGTCCAGGCCTCTGGAACTTCTGACCAACCAGCTATAAATCAGGATCCCCACGACCACCCCCTTGGGTTTAATTAGTTTGCCTGAGCAGCTCACAGAACTCAGGGGAAAACGTACTTACATTTACTGGTTTATTACAGAGGATATTACAAAGGATACAGATGAAGAGATGTGTAAGGCGAGGTACGGGGGCTCAGAGCTCCCATGCCCTCCCCGGGTGCCACCCTCTAGGAACCTCCATGTGTTCAGATATCCGAAAGCTCTCCAAACCCAGGCCTCTTGGGTTTTTATGGAAGCTTCATTACATAGGCATGATTGATTAAGTAATTGGCCACTGGTGATCAACTTACCCCTCAGCCTCTCTCCCCTCCCCAAAGGTTGGGGGGTGGGACTCAAAGTCCCACCTTGGTCTTGCCTGTGGCCAGCCCCCATCCTGAAGCTACTTAAGGGCTGCCAGCCCTCATTAGTGTATGAAAAGACTTTTACCACCTTGGAGATTCTAAGGACTTTAAGAGTTGTATGTCAGGAGATGGGACAAAGACTAAATATATTTTTCACAATATCACATAGTTTGGTTATAAATGTAGTGAACTTTCTCACATACTGTGAATTGCCCAAGTTCACCAATGGCCCTTTTTGAAAGTTTTACTTTTGTCTTGTTTTTTAGGCTCTGTATAATCGGCTGGTTCCTTTAGTGAATGGTGTCAGAGAATTTTCAGAAATTCAACTTGCTCGGCTAAAAGTAAGATTCCAATTAGAGGTTCTTTAAAAAGAAAATATCCTAGAAACACATCAGAAAGATGTGAAAGCCAGAAATTTTCTTTTTTTTTTTTTTTTTTTTTTTTTTTGTCTTTTGTCTTTTTCCGTGTCCGGCAATGGATCGCAACCCTGCAACGGATCGCAACCCTCAGTGTTGCCCCCGTACCGGACCGGGGACCGGCAATGGGATTGCAACCCTCGGTGCTGCTCCCGCGCCTTGCTCAGCCAGTGAGCGGGAACCGGTCTGTATGTGGGATCCGAACCCTCGGGCGGGAGCGCTGCTGCGCTTCCTAAGTGGCGCACTTATCCAGTGTGCCACCGGGCCGGCCCAAAGCCAGAAATTTTCAACTTAACTTGATTTTGGTTTTCAAATACTCTTTTGGGTGTTAAACTCTAAAGTAACAGAACAATGTGGTATTAGAAGCTTGAAACCTGGATCCTACAGCAAAGAGCCAAATGGACAAATTAATCAGTCTTTTTAGAGCTCAGTTTCTTCATCTAGGAAATGAGAGGACAGCCTTGCTAATCTATGAGTACCCTCGCCAACTAAGAAATTAGAATTTTTGTAAGTCCTACTCTTTCTAAAGAGAAGTTGGGTTTTTTTTCCTGTTTTTTTTTTTTGTCTTTTTTTACTGACCGGCAACGGGATCGCAACCCTCGGTGTCAGGCCCGCACCGCGCTCAACCAGTGAGCGGACCAGTCTCTATATGGGATCCGAACCCTCGGCGGGAGCGCCGCCGCACTCCCAAGCGGCGCACTCTCCAGTGCGCCACCGGGCCGGCCCATAAAGAGAAGTATTTTTATAAAATTTGTCATATTTCTAGAGAAATAAGATAGGCTTTGAAAATTCATCTACCTTGGTTTTTGTTGCAGCAATATACTACAGTTGTACCTGTGAAAGCCGTTGTAATTCTTGTGCATGTTATCTTTTTTCTAATGCTGTTTGTTGATCATGTCCTACTAATTACAGTGCTTTCCCTTGCTCTTTTTCAGAGGCTGAGAAATAAACCTTAATGGTAGAATTTACAGCCACTGTTGGTATTAAATGGTTTTAAAAATTCACCCACTTGCTGAACCAAGTTTAGTTTGTTGGGAGTAACGAGTAATTCTATCCTCAGCAGCTATAATATGTACAGATTCTGTTTCCCAGATTCTTTTTTTTTTCCCTTTTTGTCTTTTTTACTGACCGGTACGGGATCGCGACCCCCGGTGTTACGCCCGTACCAGGGACCGGCAACGGGACAGCAACCCTTAGTAATTCTATCCTCAGCAGCTATAATATGTACAGATTCTGTTTCCCAGATTCTTTTTTTTTCCCTTTTTGTCTTTTTTACTGACCGGTATGGGATCGCGACCCCCGGTGTTGCGCCCGTACCAGGGACCGGCAACGGGACAGCAACCCTCGGTGCTGCGCCCGCGCCGCACTCAGCCAGTGAGCGGGAACCGGTCACCATATGGGATCCGAACCCTCGGTGGGAGCGCTACCGCGCTCCCAAGCGGCGCACTCTCCAGTGCGCCACCGGGCTGGCCCTCCAGATTCTTTTTTTATATGTCTTCATTATCCACTTTCTTTGGATATTTTCTTTACAGAAATAGATGCATTCATAGTTTCAATGTTTTTTTTCCCCTCCCTGAATTAGAAATAACTTGTTTTGAAACATGACATAAACTTTACTTGAATTATTGGTGTTTTTATTTGAAAAGAAGAACTGGTGACCTGGAGCATCAGTTACATGGACAGCAGTTTATGACCTTTCTGGGCAGTACAGGGTGACCACGTAGAGCAGCCTGGAGAGCCCCTGGCCATTGTACATCGTCAGCTGCTCTATATTTGCAGATCTGTCATTTTAAGGATCTTTTACAAATTTTCAGCATCTTCCACTTGTAGAAGATATTTGGACTTTGGAATTTATTTGTATGACTGGACCTAACCTACAATGTGCACAAAGTTCAGTTTAGTTTTTTAAAAGGCTTTACTAATCATGGAGAAAATTTAAAAAGGGATAATTTTGGTTACCTTTTGCTTTCTATTCCTTCTTGAACTTATTGCAGTTTTTCCTTCATCATTAGAAACTGGGAATAAACAAGACTGATCCAAGCACGTTGACAGAAGAGGAAATGTGTCAATTCGCCCGTCTCAACATCGACCCTTCCACCATCACATGGCAGAGAGGTAGGAGCAGGGGAGGCACAGCGTGCTGACTGCCCTGCTGGGAGAACGTGCTCAAGCTCAAGCTCTGGGATTAACTTCACAAATGCACAATTTGTTTCTTCCCATGGTCTTCCCAGCCCGTGCTTCCTAATCCCACCATTTATTTCGGTTACAGTTATTTTTTTGTCCTCTTCCCTCATCATTGCCTCCTGTACAAACCAGCTGCTCTCTATGGGCTCCATCCCACCCACTCCCACCTCTTCCAAATTTCCAAGGAAAAGTACTCAGTTTTCTCTTCTGTCTTGCTCTCCCTTGGCCTCTTGTCTCTGCATTTAAAACACTTTTTAAGCCTGTGTCTCCCCTTCTTTGTTCTGCTGCCTTCTCTACCCACCATCCTGATTTCTTCCTTTCTCACCTTTGGCTCTAAGCAGCTATGAACTTGTATTGTCAGTGCTGAATGTTTTCTCCACGCCTGGTATGTTCTTCCTGCCATTTACTAGGTGTCACTCTAATGCTTCAGATGCAGCACAATGAACTCCTCCGGACTGCCGTGCCTCCCTCTTGGCTGTGACACCCCCTCCCTTCTCCTGTACTGCCCTTTGTGTCTGTCAGTCACTATGGAGTGGGACAGTGGGAAGAAGCACCAGATGTAGACTCAGCAATCCTGAGTATGTGTCCCCACCCTGCTGCGGTCTCATCATGTGACCATGTGACAGAGACACATGTCACCATGTGACATATGTTCTGGGCCTCGGTCTCTTGAAGATGGAAATGGAGATGATAATAGATACTTCACAGGAGTGTGGCAATCGTACTTTATAAACCCTAAAGAGCTACGGAAATGTTAGGTGGCATGTATTCCTGATCCTTCCTAGATTTTTCCCATTTCTACCCTCTTTTCGGGACATTTCAGGTGCCTGATGTATAGCAGTTGCCTTCTAATGGATTGTCTTGCTTCCGTTTCCATCCCTCCACTTCTGTAGGTTGATAGTAACAGAGATGTTGTCCTGTCACTTCCTCCAGTCTGCCCCCCTGCAGCTTGTGCAATAGTCGCTATTATATAGCTGGCCTTGAGGACCACCACCATGTGGCCTCAGGCCCCTTTGCTCCCTGTCTGTTTTCCAGTCAGGAGGGCTTCCTTCATCCTTCTTCCAGCCCTTGCTCAATCATCCTGCCTTGGCTACCTGTCTAGGCCAGTCCTGCCTTCCCAGATACAGCCCAGGTCTCACTCTTTATGAAGCTCCCTCCTGGACCCATTCAGCCAGTCTATTAAGAACTTGGTGCTTTCCCACAAACCGTGAGGTGGAGAGACAAAGACCAGAGACCAAGGCTAGGCTCTACCATTTATAAGCACAGATTTGGGCAAACTACTTACTCAGTTCCCTTATCTTTAAAATGGAGTCATAATGCCAGCCTCTGCATGGAGGCTCCACTGAAATAAATGTGAGAGTACTTTCCAAACTCGAAAGTACCGTTCAAATGATCATGAGACATCATCGTCGTAACAGTTTTATTATGTAGTTTTTTTGTGTGTCTTTATCTCCCAAAACTAAATTAAAATCTCCTTGGAAAAATTTAAGGATTTTTTTTATTTAAAAATAAGTAATAGGCTGGCCCATGGCTCACTCGGTAGAGTGCGGTGCTGATAACACCAAGGCCACGGGTTCGGATCCTATATAGGGATGGCTGGTTTGCTCACTGTTGAG